AAAAGGAATATCTTTAATACCTACAAGTAGTTAAACTCTGATTACAATATAAAGAATATAATACAAACAAGAAAAAAAGCAGAACTATTTCTTATAAAAGAAAAAAGAAAAGTTTCAAAGCACAAGAACAAAAAATTCTTATAGAAGACCTAAATATGAATACAAATCAAACTAAAAAAACTCCTTTAGCTGATTTAGAAAAAACAACCAATTCTGAAAAAATTGAGAAAGAGAATATAGAAAACCTGGCAATAATGAAAGAAGATTTGAAAGTTTCTTATAATAAAACTCTAAATAATATCAATAAAGAAAACCTTTTTATTGACAATAGTTCTAGTACAGAATCAGAAAAACCACAAGCTTTGAGCTCTCTCTTGGTACTAATTGCAAATGACATTAATCTGCAATCTCATTTTGACAATGCTGAAAAGAAATTCACAGTTGTTCATATAAAAGAAAAAAAGATAAAAAAGCTTTTACAAAACAAAAGGCTGAGCTAATCAGAAAGGCTCTATACAAAAATCTTCATAATGGAGTACAGAACTTCCAGATCTAAATCTGTATTATTACGCAATCTTTTCATAACCAATTACATCAAATTCAAAATAACAACTCTTAATGTAAAAGGGTTGAACAATTAACAAAAACAATGAAATACTTTAACTCTTTTAAAATTATATAAACTAGACTTTATTATGCTACAAGAAACAAATCTAAATGATAAAAGCACATGAAATTTTCTTAAAAACTAATAGATGTTTGACTTTATTTAAATAACAAAACAGCTATACTTGCAAGCAACAAAGATATAATCTTTAAAAACATCGAAATAGATCTTAATAATAGAATAATTACTACCAACTTTAAGTACAAAGGGCTTACATTTCAAGTTTCCAACATATATACTTTATCTAGCCCAGGAGACAGAAAACTCTTCTTTAAAAAATAGTCTCCTTATATTAAAAAAAATGTTATTAATATTATTGAAGATAACTTTAATACTAACCTCTATTTAGAAAGAGATAAAATTAGCAAAGCAGCTCCACAATGTAACATTACAAAAGCACAACTTCAAGGTCTTACTAAAAATTTCTTAAATTCCTCTAACTTTGCAAAAACAAAGCCTTTCTATATCTTTTTCCAGAAAACTCAAAGCAATTGAACTATGGCTACACATTTGGACTATATTTTTGTCAACAAAAACAATACTTACTTAATCTCAAAAGTTAATATAAAATTTAAAAACCAGATCATCTGCTAGTTGAGTGCATTCTAAACTTTAGCTCTAAAGGCAAAGAATCTGCTCTCTGGAGGTTTGATAAAAACTGCTTTAAGAATAAAAAACTAAAAAAAGAAATATTAGATAAAATCTTAAATTTAGAAAATGTAGAAGATTGAAACTTCTACAAAGTACACATACAATCTATTATCAGAGCCTTTAAAAAACCAAAAGTGACAGAAAACAAAATCACAAAACTAAACAAAAACATTACTCAACTAAAAGAAAAACTAGCACATAATTCTAAAAACAGCTACCTACATTCACAAATTGATATGCTAAACTCAGACCTTCAGGAAGAACTATTTTAGTTTGCTAAAAAGTGGCAAACTTATTCTAAAGCCTAATGGATTGAACAAGGAGAAAAATCTACAAAATACTTCTTCACCAGATATAAAACAAAAAAAGCTAGCTCTGCATTAAAGAACATTAAAGATCCTGAAGCTTTATAACAAACAAGAGAAACACTTTTTGCGATATAAGAGAAAAATATACAGAAATTTATAAAAAAAAGAATATAGATATTAGCTCAGCAGAAAAAATTACTAAAAACCTGTCACAAGTTTCTTCTGCATATAACTCATCTCTTATTTAAGAAATTACATAAGAGAAAATTAGCAATATTATTAAAAACCTCTCAAACAATAAGGCTTCTAGTACAAATAGACTAATATATGAGTTTTATAAACTTACTAAAAAATCAATAATACCAGTTTTTTATGGTTTTTTTAATCATGCTCTTAGCTCAGGAGTCATGCCAACTTCTTGGTATAAAAGTTTAATTTTACTAATATCTAAAAAAGCAGAAAATCTTAAAGATGTAAACAACTAAAGACCAATATCATTAGTTAACAGTGATGCCAAAATTTTTATGAAGTTCTTGGCTAATTGTTTCAATCTTATATATAAGAAGATAGTACTTCACCAACATGAATTTATCAAAAACAGATCTATTACAGATATGGCTCTTGATATTATTACTACTCTGAAAAACCAAGTAGATTCTTTTAAACAATATTGGCTACTTTTTATTAATCAACAAAAAGCATTTGATCATATTAATCATGATTTTTTAGAACTAACTTTGAAGAACATGAACTTCGATCACAAATTTATAAGTCTAGTACATAATCTTTTCTCTAATCAAGAGGCTTATATTATAAATATTGGAGCTATCTTCAGACTACTTAGAGTAAAAAAAGGTGTTAGACAAGGAAATCCTCTTTCTTCACTTCTTTATATACTAGCTTTTGAGCCTTTTATAAGAAATCTAGAAAGACAATTACAGGATATAAAATTAAGAAATCAGTTTTTTAGAACTTTTGCTTATGCAGATGATTTAACAATAGGAATTGGGTCTTTTACAGATTAGAACAAAACTATAACAGCACTAAGCCTATATAAGACAGCTTCAAATGCAAAAATCAACAGAACTAAAACTAAATTAGCTTCTTTTACAACTATAGCTTGATAAATAGAACTTACTAATGAAAACCAATTTATCAAATTAGAAGAACAAAAAAATGTTACCATTTTGGGCTATAATATTTTCACTAATAGACAACTAAAAAAAGATCTTTGGCCTACTATTATTAACAAGCTAAAGAAATCTCTGGATAAGCTTTTAAACAGAAATCTTTTCTTTAAAGAAAAAATTTTAATTGCAAAGTCACTTATCTTATTCAAAGTCTGGTATTCAGCATATCTACTATCTTTAAACAGAAAGCAAGTAGCAAAAATTAATAGAGCTATAACTCTTTGGATCAAGAATACATTATAGATGCTGCCCAGATACTTAATCTTTTAGCAATTGATAGAGTTAGCAGGTCTTCAAGCTCTATTTATTAAAAACATACTAGATGCCTGCTTAATAACAGTTTGAATGTGACTTCTTACATCTAATGCCATGTGGGCAATATATGAAAGGAATAAGATACAGTCAATACTCAGTGATAAAAGAAATCTTTTTCCTATTCAAGCTCTGAATTCAGGCAATACAAGCACAAAAGCCTGATCTATAGAATGAAAACTCTATTTAAAGGCCTAAACAAGAATTAAAGACAAGGTCTCACATACTTCTAACTGGCTTTAAAATAGTAATAAAATTAGAATTAGAGAAATTAAAGAAGATAAACTCTAGTTAAAAAAATTTTGGAACTTTTAAAAGAATCTTCTCTCCTATTGACTATATTATAAACACCTTTGAAGATGTCTTAGCCCACTTGGCTCTTTTTAAAGTCCGTCTGTAGCAAGAAAAAATATATTTTTGGTACCTTTTCTACAAAGTGCTCCTACTTAGTTATCGATTAAGACATATTGGATTATTAGAAACAGAGAATTGTACTTGGTGCTCAGATAAAGTACAAACTATAGAATATTTTGCTTTAGAATGCTTTTGTAGTATAATTATCTAGAAGAAAGCATACAATTTTCTTAATATTAATGAGGAAATATCTATACTATCCTTATTCGAAGATATCTTTTAAGCCTTTAATAATCTTTGTTCTTAGGCTCTAGCAGCTTTGATCTGATTACATATTAATGCAATCTATAAAATATGGTATCACTACATTTCTATAAAATAAAGAAACTTAGATACACCTTTTAACTCTCTAAACTCTCTTATTAGAAATTGCATTTCAAAGGAAATACAAATTCTAAAAAACAACTCCTTTAGTACTAAATCTAAATCTTTTAAACTAATATATAAATATTTAAAAAGTAACTATATCTTTTATAATATTTTAATAAAAGAATGCTACCTGTGCCCCTAGTTGTAATGACAATAAGAATATTCCAAAAAAAAAAAATATATATATGTTTAATTTATATATATATATATTTCTATTTTATTAATTTTATTATTTATATAGCTGGTATTTAAAAAGAAAAATCTAAACTATTAAAAACTTTCTTCTTTTCTTTATATTTTAAAAAGAATTTAGAGCAGTTATGTAGTATATTATTTATAATTTGTTTTAAATATTTTATAAATAATTTAACTTTATAAAATTACAGAAATCTATAAAACTTATAGTAGCAAAAAGACTTTATTATCTGTATTCTACTACTAAATATTATGATATGTTTTTTGTTGAAATTAACAAATATATTAATAAGATAGTTTTATTATTTAAGCTATACTACCAAAGTTATTATTTTTATTAACTATTTAATATTAACTTTGTTGTCTAAGTTAAGCTAAATCTTAAATCAAATTCTATAATTTATTTTGATTTAGCTTGCATTTAACAATATTTATTATTATTTTTTTTGAATATTTTTTTTTAATTTAAATATTTTTATTTAGTACTAGTTTTATCAAAAAAAATTATTCTTTTTGGCAACAGTTAGTAATTGGACAGAATATGAAATGATTTATCATTATATCAATTATAAAAGTAAATTTATCTTAGTCTTGTTTTATATAATATCAATCTTGTCAATAATTAGTTTTAAAACTTATAAGATTAATACTTAATCTTAATAAGATTTAGAATACAACTACTGTTGCTAAGAATAGTAATAAATTAAAAACTTGTAAACTAAATGACAATAATAGATTTAAAAAAGACAACTAAGTTGATCACAATGAAACTATTTTAACTATTAATATTAATAGTAAAATATTTAAAATTTAATTAAATAACAATAATAGATCTAAAAAAAAAAACAAGTTAATTATAGTGAAATTAATTTAGCCATCAATGTTGATAATGAAATGTCTAAAATTCAAAATATAACTACTTCTAATAATAGTTCTAAAATAGAAAATTAAGTTGACTATAATAAAATTAATCTAGTTATTGATGTCAATAGTAAGTTATCTGAAATTTAAGATACAACTACTTCTAATACCAATAATAAAACTAAAATAAATAATAACAGAAGGTTTAAAAAAAAACAAGTTCATTACAATAAAGTTATTAATGTTAATAATGAGATGTTTAAAATTCAAGATATAATTACTTTTAATACTAATAGTAAAACTAATTTAAATAATAATAGAAAGTTTAAAAAAAAAACAAGTTGTTTACAATAAAGCTATTGATGTTAATAGTAAAATATCTAAAAATCAAGATACAACCACTTCTGCTAATAATAAAACAAAATTTTATAAACTGAATAACTATAGTAACAAGGTTAAAAAAGGTAACCAAGTTGATCACAATGAATTAATCTGAAAAAAATACTGTTAAGTTTTTTTATAATTACTTTTTTTTGTATAATGTTTACTAAATTTTTTTTATAATTAAAATAAATTTATTGTTAGTATCTAGCAGAACAAATATTGAAGGCTTAAAAAACTTTACAAATATTTATTAAAAAAGTCTAAATTTTAAATAAACACAATTATGCATATAGTTAATTAACTATATAAATTGTGTGATATAAAGTATTATAGATATTATAGTAAAGATGAATTAATATGATAAATTAATTAGATAAAATAAATAGTCATACAATGCTGTCACACTAAAACCAGTAACAAAAATTATTTAATTACTACATCTAATTAGAATTAAGACTTTGTATATAAAAAAAAAGCTCAAATTTAATTATATATTTCAATTTATTATATTTCTAAAATTTAATTTTGGCATTTAATATATTATGTTCTTAGTATTCAATTAACTATATATCTGAATTTGATCTACAGCATTTTTGGTATTTAATTTATTATATTACTAGTATTTGATCTACTATATTTCTGTTTTACTATATTTTTAATTTTATTAGATTACAAGATATCAATTTATTGCCAACTAATCTTAAAAACCAAACATTTAACAAACTTGAATCTCACTGCTCTGTTCTTGCCTATATGGACGACACTTTATAGATTGCCTCCTCACAGCAAGAACTCTTCCAAATCCTATCAATAGCAGAATCCTTTTACAATATGGCTAACATTCAAATTAATCCTACTAAATCAATACTTACAA